GAGAGACAGAGAGATAGAAAGCGAGAAATCATCCCCCAGGAGGGATGGCCATTGCCGCAATCCCTTCTCCTCCATTCTCCTCTTGGGATCTTGGGCACGCACGCACATGCGCCTGGTGTGAGTTTAAACCACCGGGCCCAGGACTCGAACTGCCGTTTACTACATCGAAGTCCAAGTGAGACAGCCATTGTGCCAACTGCTGGTCCCTCATTTTCTATCAGACTTCCTAGAATAGTCTCTTTATGAAAATTCAATTCAACTCAATCAAGAATTACTATTCACCTACTCTGCCTCTCTCTGTCTTTATCCAGCAAGCACATGCACCCTATAGTATACAAACAAAAACTTTTAAAAAAGAGAGAGAGAGAGATCTAGTTTTGCCCTGAACGAAATTTAGGCAAGTCACATGATTGTCTGGTCACCCTTAATCTCAGTCTTATTTCAGTAATTACAATGTCCTATCCCTCATAGTGATCCAAACTTCAATTCTGATTTAAAGTTGAGACCTCTCACCATCCCCAGTTTGGTGCTGCTGAAAAGGGACGCCTGCTGTGGCTGGTGGTATATAGAGCAGAGGGCTCCAACATCCACCCCAGGCTATGGACCAGTGCCAGTCTGAGGCTGCTTCAGTGCCAGTCCATGGCCTGACCAGTGCTAGGTGTTGGGCGGTTGCTGGTCCATGGCCTGTTGCCCTGCCGGTGCAGCGGTGAGTGGGCCACAGGTGAGCAAGTGAGGCTTCGTCCGTGTTTGCAGTCGTTCCCCATCACTTGGGTTATCGCCTGAGCTCTGCCCCCTGTCAGACCAGCGGGGGAACTGGATTCTCAGGGGAGCAGGAACCCTGTTGTTGTGTGATTGTGTCACTGTATATTGCAATGTGGTAGTGGTGGAAACAGGGTGCACGGTGGACGTGGTGTCCTTGGGTCATCCTGAGACTAGCCCCCCGACCCTGTCTGTGGAGGGATTGTCTTCCAGGACACCAGTCCCTGGTGCTGGGAAAATCAGGGACCACTACAGAGACTCTTCCTTGTTTATTTAGCTAACAAGTCTCCAATCTCTTCAGGGTTGTTGCCCGGGGATGTGGAAGAGGTGCGAGGAGTAGAAAAATCCTCTGTATACGTTTGTGATCTCCTGATTCACCAGGAGCCCCGGTGCCTTGGGGTGATTGTTTTACACAGCCCTAGGCGGATCCAGTTTCTATTCTCCTCATAGACCAACCTTTCCAGCCCTATCAGAATCCCTTCCCCACTTCCTCCCACGCTTTCCTCCTCATAGAGAAGGTCTGTGTCGTCATCGGGTGGGGATTTCTCTGCTTTTGCTCTGACCTACGTCTCTTCCCTTTCTTTTCCTTCCCCCTTTAAAAAAAAAAAAAAGGAAAAATTATTGGCCTTCTTTCTTCTCGCCAAACGCTGGCAACATGGTATTCGGGTGCTTCGTGGAGGTTGGCTGAGTGGCCTCCGTCTCCTTTAGCCCTCATGACGGAAAGTTGGTTGCAACTGTAGATGTTATTGATCAGAACGGGGCTCTGGCTGATGGACCTTGCACTCAGGGGAGGAGACAGGCCGTGCCTTTCAAATGCATGCCTCTCACCGACTTCATCCTCAAGTTCCCACCTAGCGTGTGCTGGAAGTACATGCGATAAGCCTGGCAGAAAGCAGACATCAGTACAAAGTGGGCAGCCACAAGATGGGCCAAGGAGATTGAAGTCAGAGAGAGGAAAGCCAAGATGGCAGGTTTTCATCATTCCAAAGTTATGAAGGTGGGAACCAGCAGGTGGCTTGACGGTTAAGGTGCTGGATGCTCCCACATGGTCGACTGCAGTTTGACTCCTGGACCTGGTGGTTTGCTTTCTCATTTTTTTTTCTCTCTCTCTAAGTTTCTCTGAGTCTCTCTCTGGTCAAATTAAAATAAATGAATGAATAAACAAAATTAAAATAAACGATTCTTTAAAAAAATAAAGTCATGAAGGCAAAGGAAATGAGGAACAGAATAATCAAAAATGAAATGAAGAAGCCCCAAAAGGCGGCTCTCCTGAAAGTGTCTCCCCCAAAAAGCACCTGCTGCTAAGGGTGCTGCTGCTGCTGCTGCTGCTGCTGCCAACGTGCCAGCAAGAAAGATGACTGCAGGCAGAAAGGCCCCAGCCCAGAAGGCTCCTGCTCAGAGAGCCCCAGGCCAAGAGGCCACGCAGCCTCCAAAAGCTCAGAAGTTCAGAAAGCTGCAGCCCAGAAAGCACCTGTACCAAAAGCATCTGGCGAGAAACCATAAGAGGCCGTGCTAGAAATAATAAACATTCTTTCTGATGTAGCAAAAACAAAATATGTCTTTCTTCTATGAGTATGAGAGAGACATACAGAGACAGAGAGACAGAGGCCATACCCCCAACAGGGCCTCAATGCTGTGATCTACTCTCAGCTTTAGCTAGCCCTGGATCTTGGGCAGATGTGTGCCCCGAGCTCTTAGAAAGTCTCTGAACTTGTACCTGAAACCTTGCATGTGGCTTGGGCTCACGGAGCATTGTGCTTTACCACCGTGACATAGTCCAGCCTTCCTCTTCCTTTTCCCCTTATCCTGGATGGAAATGCCCCCTCCCCTGGTCCTGGTCCAGCCTTTCACCCTGGTCTGTGTCACAAGTCCCCAAGAAGTCAGCCAGAGAGCAAAGCAGGTCTGCCTGGCAGGGAAAATGTCAGGATTTGGAGACCAGGAGTCCTTTTCGGGTGGGACTATCTGTTGGGATCCATACAATGCAGCTCCTTTTAACTGATATCTACATTTAATACAACTCCACGCAAAGCAATAAAGCAATGCTTTTATTATTATTAAAATGATTTCCTTTTTGGGACCAGCAGATGGCGGAATGGTTGTCACTGGATTCCCACACAGTCAACAGCAGTTTGAGTCCCAGATCTAATGGCTTAACACTCATGCTGGACACGTATGCATACATGCCCAAAAACCTGAAAGGAAAACGGAGGTGAAGGGTTCACAGCATAGCCATCCCTCCAAGGGGTGACTTTCTTGCTTTCTGTCTGTCTCTCTGGCAGGCTCATACTCCCTATAGCAAAAATCTCTCTTAAAAAAATGATTTCTTTTTTAAATTTATTTTATTTTTTATACATTCAATCACTGTACATCATTACGGCATGTAAAATGTTTTTTCCAGCATGAATATACTGTACATGTACTGTAATAATGTCTAGTTAACGATATTATCAACATGTTATCATCGACAGATAATTTTCCATTTTTTATGTCCCTTAAATGTTTTGCTTCTTTTTCCCCTTGATTCCCTCCCTCTCATCCTCCCTCATTTTCCACCCTCTTCCCGCACTGTCTCTAGTATCCACAGTTGTTCCACATGCTTTTATATCTTCCAGTCTTTCAGTTTCTGCCAGAGAGTGCAGACAGTCGATATATATTGAGTGGGGACATCTATTGCCTATCTTTTATAGTCTGGCTTGCTTGACTTAAAGATATACTGCCATATTGGCCCACTCTTTATCAAATGCTATGGTCTCATTTGTTGTTGTTGTTTGTTTTTTGCTTGTTTGTTTTTACAGTTGAATAGTATTCCATAGTGTGTGTGTGTGCCACAATGATTTCCTTTTTTGGGGGCAATAAAATAAACATAAAATTTACTATTTTATCCATTTGAGTGTATAGTTCAGGGGCATTAAGTATATTCCCATTGTTGACAACCATAACTACTGCTCATCTCCCAAACGCAACTCTACCCATTAAACCATAACTCCCTATTCCCCACCCCCCCAGCCCTCATTAACCATTAATCTACTTTCCGTCTCTATGAATATTTCTGTTCTAGGTACCTCATACACATGGAATCAGAGTATTTGTCTTTTTGTATCTGGTTTATTTCACTTAGCATAATGTCCTCAAGGTTCATCCATATTGTAATGTGTGTCTGAATTCTGTGCCTTTTGAAAGCTGCATAATACTCCATTGTATGGATATACCACCTTTTGTTTATCCATTCATCTGATGACTAACGTGTGGGTGGTTTCCACCTTTCAGCCATTGTGAAGAATGCTGCGTGCCAAGTATCTGTGTGAGTCCTGGCTTTCAATTCTCTTGGGTATATACCCCAAAGTAGGATTTACTTCATTGTTTTTAAATAGGGAATACATATAGTGGGCAATATAAAAGGCATGAGAGGTCATACAGTGGCCCCTGAGCCCCTGCCTCCCAGTTCCCCTCCCAGGAAGCATCAGTGTAACCCATTGCTGCTGTACTTTTTCCCTATAGAGACCTCATACCCGTAAGTACACCCCATGCATGAGTGGAGACAAGCCATGAAGCACTCTTCTATACTTTGCTTTTTTTCCGCTTAGCAAGATTTCTTTTTTTTGGGAGAGGTTTTTGCTATAGGGCGTGTGCGCTCGCCAGACAGACAGAGAGAGACATAGAGACAGAAAGCGAGAAATCACCCCCCAGGGGGGATGGTCACGCTACAATCCCTTCTCCTCCATTCTCCTCTTGGGATCTTGGGCACGCATGCACACGGGCCCGGCGTGAGTTCTAAGCCACCGGGTCCGGGATGCGAACCGCGGTGGGAATCCAGCAACATAGCCATTACGCTAACTGCTGGTTCCCAACTTAGCAAGATTTCTAAAAGATGATTCTACAGTACTGTTTAAAGAATATCCTCATTATGTTTAAATGCTTCATGGTTTTTCATGGTTTTTCATGGTTTTTCAAAGTATAGAGAAGAGTTTGTGTGTGTGTGTGTGTGTGTGTGTGTGTGTGTGTGTGTATGTTTTAGTTAGTCCCCTATTGATGGACAGTCAGGTTGTTTTCAGTGAGCGGCTGCCATCAACAATGCTGTAATCCTAACAGCCAGCATTTGCTGAGCACTGACGCTATGCCAGGCCCTCTTTACATCTTTACCATGTACCGAACTGTATTACCTAATTCCCACGGTAGCTCTCTGACACAAGTACAGGGTGGTGAGTAACTGCCCCAAACCACATATTTGTCTTTGTCCACAGGTGGAAGTGTATCTGTAAGATAAGTTTCTAGACAAAGAATTGCTGCTACCAAAAGGTATGTACATTTTAAAGGTATGTAAATATTGCCATAGCGGCCGCAATCTGGCTGTGCCCATCCGCAGTCTCCAGGCAACTGCACGTATGAGGGCCCGCTGCCCTCCACACTCAGTGTTGAGAAACTTCTTGATATTTGCCAATCTGGAAGGTGAAAAATGGTATTTTACTGTGGCTCCAGTTTTTTTTTTTTTTAAATCTCTTTAAGTGAGTGATAGTGAGCATCTTTTCAAATGTTTGAAGTCCATTCATTTTACTAATAAGGTTTTTAAAACTTAATATAGTGATTCCACAGTTGATATAGAAGAATCTATGGTCAAAATAGCCTTTTTTTTTTTTTTTTGAAGAAGTTTTTGCTATAGGGTGCATGCGCTCACCAGAAAGACAGAGACAGAGACAGAGACAGAAAGCACCCTGGGGGGATGGCCACGCCGCAATCCCTTCTCTTCCATTCTCCTCTCGGGTTCTTGGGCACGCACGCACATGTGCCCAGCACAACATAGCCATTACACCAACTGCTAGTCCCTGGATTCTTTTAAATTTTAATGTTATTTATAGTGGTTCCCCCCCCACATTTTTGCTACAGAGCACATGTACTCACAAAAGAGGAGAAAGTGAGAAATCACCCCACAGGGGGGTTGGCCACACTCAAATCCCTTCTCTCCCATTCTCCTCTCAGGATTTTGGGCACGCACATGTACTCAATGAGATTCTCAAGCCAACAGGTCTGAGATTTAAACCACACAGCCAGCCATATAGGATCCAACTCCTTAACCTCTATGTATCTGCTGGCCCCTATTTTACTTCTAGCTTTTTAAAAAATAGAAAAGACTTGGGACCAGCAGATGGTGTAACAGTTATATTGTTGGACTCCCACATAGTCAAACACGGTTCGAGTCCTGGACCTGGCAGCTTAAAATTCATGCTGGGTCTCTGTGTGTGTGTGTGTGTGTGTGTGTGTGTGTGTGTGTGTGAGCCCAAAATCCTGAGAGAAGAATGGAGGAGAAGGGATTGCACCATGGCCATTTCCCTCGAGGGGTGATTTCTTGCTTTCTGTCTCTCTGTCTCTCTCTGTCTCTCCTGTGAGCACACGTGCCCTATAGCAAAAATCTCTCTCTTAAAAGAAAAATAGATGAGATTCAAATTTTAAAAGATGAAACAATGGTAAGATTCAGAGAGCAAGCTTAAAAATGTGGGCAGGGTGCAAGCAGTGGTGCAGTGTGACACAAGTGGACTGCATGGGAAGGGTCCTGGGTTTGTGTCCCAGGACCTCCCTGAGTGTGCTGGCTAGACGCTCACGTGCTGTGCCCTGCCCTTCCATCTCCATCCAGTGGAGGTCCCTGCCCTGCCAAAGGCTCCACCTCCTGGCCCCCTGGCCTCCTCCTGGGAAGCCTGACTCTGTTTCACAGCACCTAGCTCAGAGTTGGCCCCCAGGGGGTCACTTCCATTCTCTAAATCCGATGCACAGTAACTGTATAACTTATTGTCCGAACTTGCTCTCTTGGTAATGAAAGGTGGCCCCGCTCATAATGAAGCCAAGACCGCAGTAGATGGCAACTGTCTCAGGCAAATCAGGACACAAGCTTGACCCCAGACGTAAGGGGCAATCACAGTTCATTTCAGGGCAGAGATACATGACCTTCTGAGCTGAGCCCAGCAAAAGATTAAGTTGCTGTCTTTGTCCTCTGTCCAAGCTCTCTTCTAAATCAATTTTTTTAAAGAATTATTTTATTTAACTTTATTTTAATTTGACCAGAGAGAGAGAAAGAGATGAAAAGTGAGAAAACAAGCCACCCGGTCTGGGACTCGAACCACAGTCGGCCACATGGGAGTCCAGTGCCCTTATCCACCATGCCACCTGCCAGCCCCTAAATCGAGTTTTAAAAATAATGCACTTTCTCAGTACTATTTTCTTTTTCTTTTTTTTTTTTTTTTTTGAGAGGTTTTTGCTATAGGGCATGTGTGCTCACCAGACAGACAGAGAGAGACATAGAGACAGGAAGTGAGAAATCACCCCCCAGGGGGGATGGTCACGCTGCAATCCCTTCTCCTCCATTCTCCTCTTGGGATCTTGGGCATGCACGCACACGGGCCTCGCGTGAGTTCTAAGCCACCGGGTCCAGGACGCGAACCGCGGTCAACTATGTGGGAATCCAGTGACATAGCCATTACACTAACTGCTGGTTCCCAGTACTATTTTCTTAGAAGTGTATTTTTTAGAATATCAGATTTAGCCCCCTAAATATAAGTATGTAAGAAATAGAAGTTTATTTCTAAAACTCTCCTTCATGTCTTTCTTTCTCTTTAATATGCATGCACTTACATGAGATGGGTGATGGGGAGAGAAGAGAGAAAGCAGCCTTCAATGGGGCCTGCTCACACTGCAATCCCTGTTCCTCCAGTTTTCCATTCCATCAAGATCCTGGGCATGAGTGTGTGCTTGGTGTATTTTCCAAGCTGCCAAGAGTAGGACTTGAACCCTGTTGGCTCTGCGTAGTACCTAACTGCTGCTCTATGGGGGTTGGCCTTACCCTTCATTCTATTTTCCATCCCATTTTTAAAAGGTTCTGATGCTTCATTCCAGTTGGCTGAGTTTCCTTTGCCTTTTCCATTTTTGGGTTGGGATGGAGTACAGGGTTCTAGACTCTTAGGGATCTTCACACCATCTCTCCTTGTCCCATCTGTCCTTGGCCATTGGTGCCTGTGGGTCACTGTGGAGCTCAAAGGCTCTCTTCATCTCTTCATGCTGCCTCAGCAAGCTTGCCGGGGCCCCCTTGGCCAGATGCACCCAACGACCATTCTTTTTCTCTCTGGGAAGCAAGACACAGGTCCTCTCTGCTCTCAGGTACCTTCTCTCTGGGGCTCTGTGCAGGGTGCAGGGATCGAGGCCTTGGTCTCCAGGACCCACCCACAAATATTACTGTGTCTCTCAACTTGACTCCAACTCTTGTCCTTGCCCTGGGAACGCTTCTCGGATGCGGAGTAGGGATATCCTCGATCTTTTTGGTGACTATTTTCTCTCATACTAGAATCTCGGTCTAAGCCAAGAGTCTTTTCTATTCCCCTCAAGGGCAGAGGCTCCTTTCCCAGCTCTGTTTTCATACACCTGCCCCGAAGCAATGAGCAGGGCAGGGTCAGGCTGTTTGAATGGGGGGAAGGAGAGGAAGTAAAGAAATATCAGGCTGATGGAGGCACTGGCTAATATTTCAGAACATAATTTCACAAGGCATACGTGTGTGTTAGATGGCTTCCTGCTTTAATTGTTATGATTTCATATCCTTTTGTAGATCTTGTAAACCAGACTCCCCTGTCCCCATCCCCCAGGATAGTTCAGCCGTTTGCAGCTCTGTGAGCCTGGGCGTGTTGCTTTCCCTTCTCTAAGCTTCCATTTCCTCATCTGTGAATGAGGCTACTAATAGCTCATATCAATTAAGTGCCTACAATCGTCAAGCATGGTTCTAAACATTGTATATGTATTTATCCTGACCATAAACTTATGAGAGAGCAACTATTCCTATTTTACAGGTGAGGAAACTGCATCTCACAGTTGTAGATAACTTTCAACTCCAACAGTCCAAGGTAGCTTAAAGGCCAAAGTCATGTGGTCCGCTCTTAACCTCTGCCTTTCACAAGTGTTAGTGACGACTTCATGGGTTTGTGGTGAGGAGTAGCGGAGGTAAAATAGACAAAGCCCTTGTCTCAGAGCCTGGTGGGTAGCAAAGCTCAATAAATTCTCAGCTGATACTTTAGCCATGATGTTTCAGTCATTGTCATCTGAAATGCCTTTGGAATTGCATTGAACTGTATCTAAATTCTAAATATTTAACATAGTTTTCCCATTCAGGACTATTATATCTTATTACATATTTAAGTGTTATTACATATATGCACATAAGACTTGCATTTCTAGGGAAGTTTGCTTTTAGATGTTTAGGAGTTTTGTCACTAATTTTAATTTTATTTTTTAAAAGAATTATTTATTGGGACCAGCAGGTGGCATAATGGTTATGTCACTGGACTCCCATGTAGTTGACTGAGGTTTGAGTCCTGGACCAGGTGGCTTAAACTCATGCTGGGTGCATGTGTGTGCATGCCCAAGATCCTGAGAGGAGAATGGAGGAGAAGGGGTTGTGGTGTGGCTATTCCCCTGGGGGGTGATTTCTTGCTTTCTGTCTCTCTGTCTTTCCTGTGAGCACACACACCGTATAGCAAAAACCTCTAAAAATAATAATTATTTATTTTATTTATTTATTAATCATCATTATTATTTTTATTTTAATTTGACCAGAGAAATATATATATATAGAGAGAGAGAGAGAGGGAAAGTAAGAAATACCTGACCCTTAGTCAGCTATGTGGGAGCACCTTAACCATCATGCCACCTGCTAGCCCTGTCACTAAGTTTAAAAATTCATTTATTTATTTATTCCATAAGACAGAGCACAGCCCCAAAAGGGTCTTGATGCCTTCCTATACCGGTAGCTTGAGCCAGCCTCAGATCATGGGCACTGCATACTCAGCATATCAGGGATTGTCAGAGATGTGAACCAAAACTTACCCATATCGACGGGCTCTGCAGAATGTCATGTTTACCACTGTGCCACTATTTGCCCCCCCCCTTTTTTTGAGAGTTTTTTTTTGCTATAGGGTGCGTGTGCTCGCTAGACAGACAGAGAGAGACATAGAGACAGAAAGCGAGAAATCACCCCCCAGGGAGGATGGTCACGTCGCAATCCCTTCTCCTCCATTCTCCTCTCAGGATCTTGGGCATGCATGTACATGCGCCCAG